ACTAGAAGCCAGTACAGCCAATAAAGCAATGGTCTCATATGTTCAAATCAAAGAATACCATTTTGCAGCTTTATTTTGGATCAACTGACATTTCTGGAGACAGTCCCTTGCAGAATATATGCCAAGGTTGCCCAAGATATGTAACTCTAGCCACTTTATCTCTGTCCAAGTGGGGTCACAGTTGGTTTATCGACCAAAGATAAAGGCACTCATAGGCACTGAGGCCACTAAAAAAATGTTGGATCAAGGAGTACACCCCAAACTGCAAACCTGATCCTTTAGGGCAGGAGCACCTCCTTCTACTGAGGGCATTGGCAAACTACTCAATAGAGAAGACAAACTACCCACTAACCTCCATCTTGTTTGTACTGAGTCTTGGTTTACTGGGCCTTATCCAGTCTATTATGGTAAGCAGGCACTGATTCAGAACTGCCCCTCCTGGATTTGATGAAAAAGAGAGATAGAGCTGGATGTCATCTGGATGATGATGACACCTCAGTTCAAATCTCCAGATGACATTAAGGTATCATCAGAAATATCTGACATTTCTATGAAGCTTTCACTATTAGAATGCACTGCATCCAATAGCAATAAAGAAACAGTAGAACATCTCAGGGATAACATAAAAAAGAGCAAATGTTTGGATTTGCTGGCCATATTGTCATAGCTTCCTGTACTCTCCACAATATTTTCTATGAAATGCCAAGGGAAAGGCAATGGCAACACCAGGTCTTGTTACTCCCACCTGTAGAGATCTATGAAGACCAATTTATAAATGCAAGTGCCCTACCCTCAATTAGGGCATTCTCAGCATCTTGTCCCTAAAACACAAAAGCAAGGGGTGGGGACCCTTTTTTCTTTCAAGCAACACATGTTGGGAGTAGGCAGAACTTAAGTGAGCGGTGTATGGGAGCCAAATGTACAAGGCTACCTATTTTTTTCTCTCTTTTTCTGCCAGTACCGCCTTTTTTTTCTATTCTCCCTTCTCAAACAAATGACTACTGGGAAAAAGAAAGATTATGTCAGAGGCCTGAAATGATAGTTTGTAGAGAGCTTTTGAAATTAAACCAAGGGCCACATGAAATTAAGCAATATGAAGGTACAGGGTGGAAGTTTATCCACCACTGCTTTGGAGTACAGCATTATTAAGTCAAACATTCTTATAAAGCTTCCTGCCTGGATACAGTGCTTAGATAATGTAACATAGGGCATGTATTCAGCTACTACCTCAAATTTCATTATCTAAACAAAACATTTGCAAAGAGGGAGCGGGAATGGAATGTGTTACTTTAGAATAACCTGTCCTGAACACAAGAAACTTTGCCCAAGGACTAAACCCTTAGCTTCCAATTGATATATGGTAAGCTCTTATATGGAGTGGACATAGCCAAGAGAGTCTCCAGTTCTAAGATTACTTTCTCCTTATTTTTTTAAATAGGCCAAATAAACATCAGTTTCAGGATACCCTGTTTCCTTATATGTAGAAGAAAATAAAACAAATTAAAGGCTTGGCAGTTGCTTAGTGAACTAAACACAAACATTATGCTTTCACTCCAAACATATAGCCCATAAATAAAAATATTTAAAATCTGTTTTAAAGACATAGTATTTTATTGCAAAAATAAATGGTGTGAGTGTATGTATGTGACAGACACACATATAAACTAAAGACTCACATTTTCTTTACAATGATGGGTAGAAAATGCTAACCAGAACCCTCAGGAGAGTTAGCAAAGCAGCACAACTTAGAGGGTTGATGTGCCCCAAGGGCTATCAGGCAATTTTGCTTGGTGCAAGCAACCTTGATAAAATGGATCATCAGCTTTTATTTACCAAAAAAAAAAAAAATTCCTTATGGCTGTTAAGAAAATCTTAAAGAACATGAGTGCTGTGTGAATCTAAGACGCAACCCCCCAACATTCATATGAAGTTCAACATTAATTTTTAAATAATACCATTTAAATGGAATAACACATGATTGGCAATAACCAGCATCCTTAATAATGTCTGCTACAGAGCATGAATTAGAACCCATCTTGCACTTAATCAAGACTCTCACATTGACTCTTTTCTCTTCCTATGGAAGTTGTGCATGGAATAATTCTATAAAGCACCATCCATGATAAATCATGTAATGCTTACCCTCTGCTCATTACAATGCCTAATCCAAGTTTGTGCTTTTTTCTGCTTTACCTAAATAAACCAGGAATATGAAACGTGCAAAACAAACTGGAATGTAAGCTTTCCTAATGGCCAGAGCACTCGATTTTGCCATGTAAAACTTACCGTCTCATAATTTAGAAAGATATGACAACAATGTGGAAAATTTAGAAAGATATGACAACAATGTGGAAAATAATCATTTTACAATAATTCAATAGTTAGTGTTATTTTCAGCAGCAAGTGAAGACCCTCCTAATTTCTCAGACTTTTTTCAGTTTTTGTTGTTCTAAATCTGTTACACCATTTTAAATCTTTCCACTACTGTTAGGTTTTATTTTGATTTTATACTGTAGTTTTAAACTTTTATACTGTATTTTTTCATGTTGTGTTGTATTGTTTGAATAGTTGTGAAGTGCTCCGAGACCTTTAGCTAGTCGGCAATATAAAAATATAATGAACAATTCTTAATTTCAACTCTGCAATATAATGAAAATAATGTTCCTAAATTATCTCTTTAAATTAAGGTACTCAGCTGATACTGGGAGAGCTATATAAGGCAAAGGTCTTCATTTTGCAATTCACCATTGCATCATATCTACATCTGTGGACAAGCTGAAACTCGATTTCAATAACTACACTGCTGTAACATGCTAAAATAAGCAAAATATTGCATCTTCAGTAACTGAGTTGCTTTTCACAAGTATCTCATAAAGTCAAATTAGGAGATCTGGGGCTGGCATTCTATGCACATTCCATCCTATAGAAAAAAGTGAAATTTATATCCAAGTAAATATGGATAGCATTGGGCTGTATATGTTATAACAATCAGCACACTTCATTTAAAAGCAGTGCAAAAGGGACACATCCATGCATTCGAGTTACATTTCTTTATGACACTTACTCTTCATTTGGAAACCCCAGAACAGTTTACATGAATGAAAATTCCTTAGCTTTAAATGATGTAACTGTCTATAAATTCAACAAATGATTGTTTGCAGTAAGTCTTGCAAACATATCATTTCTGTTTTTAACCTCTAAAAATAATAGTGATTAATTCCTATACAGAACCCACATCACTAGAGAACTAAACTCTGAGGAAAGTCTCCACTGAACTCCTAATTATCAATGTTCTGTCTATGTAAATATATTCTAAAGGACTACTACAGGAACTCCAAAAGACTAAAGGTCCATTTGTGTACATAAAGTTAAAATGCTCTTTTTTATTTTTCACAGTCAGAAAGTATTTATGACAAAATTTATTTTAACTAGACTACAGCTAGTTTCTTCTTGATTAAAACAAGACCTAGTTATCCAAATAGGATTGTTTCCCAAGTATGTAAGTTAAAGCTGCAATCTTAAACACGATAAAAATTAAGGAATCCTTCCAAGCAAAATGCAATTAAATGTTTAGATAAACCACTGTTCAGCAGTCAAGCTATGAATAACAACAGAACCTTAGAACAAAGGCTAATAGACTGAGCTGTAAGCCAGGAAATTCATAATCCAAACTTTGCCTCCACCATGAACTATGAGGACTTAGGCATCTTCAAACCAACAACTTTCGGTCTGATTCTACAACGCAGAAATAAAAAAATATTGTCTCATCTTTAATGGTTTTTGTAAGGATTACTAAGATTATATGAATTGCTTCACTCTAATGCAATTATTGCACATGCATTTTCAAATATCTCTGATCACCTAGGAATTTTTGCATCACTTCAGTTATGTTTTACCACTATTTCCATCACTGTTCCCTGAAATCTAGACTTTGGTGAAACTGACAAGTCTGGGTCCTTATCAATTTCATGAGCTTTTTAAAACTTCAAATAAATTGGAGTACATGCATGGGTGCATGAAGCACACATGCGCCAACATCTCCCATGTAGCTACTATTTAAAAAAAAAAAACCTTAGGAAGAACTGGTTAACTTAACAAGGTTCTCCCTGAGCTTCTCCATTTCATCACAAGGCAACCAGGTGAAAGGATAATGATAGAAATTACCACTGGACAAATGCACTAGTTTATGGAAAAACCAGAGGGAACTGGGTAAAGGAACCACACCATGCTTACTGACTGAACAAAGAGTCAATTCCGTACAGGAAAGCAAATTTAAAACATAAAAATGAACATTGAAAAATGGTGAACATGGGATCAAAAACAGCACTTCTAACAGAACATAAGTTCACAGGTGAGAAGAAAACATAGAAACAATGAAATGTGATTGAAGGTTATGCAGGAATATATATTTGCAGTCTATTTAGTAATCTGGTATTAGTATATCTTATTTCATATATTTGAATCGACAGTGGGAAGAGCTCAAAAGTACTTTTCAAGAGCCTTTTTAAGATCAGTTTCACACATTATATGAAGTGTAATATTATGTATTACTATGAATTACTGTATATTTGGATTTGTTCTAATACTTTCTTTATAAGTTTAGAACACATCATAGGTTCCCAATGAATGTAGAAATGATTCTGTTTCTACGAACTAGCATTTTGTACTAGTTTGGCTGATACACTCCAAATCAAGGACTAGGCTGAACAATGTCAAGAGCCTTTTCACTGCTGTGATACACATATGATCTATATAACACACTTAGAATAGCCTAGTTCAATGTTTGATATAAAAGAAGTCAAACCTCACCTAAACGCCTTCAACAGGATACAATACTTCAATTGCCGCTTGAAAATTAATTTAGCATGTTTTAAACACTGATAAAGTAGTCATGCAAATTTGCAATTTTGGCAAAAGATTCCAGCAGCAATAGGCTATATTAATCTCAAATCAATGTTGCCTGTAGCATTTTATTATTCATTCCAACTTATGCTAAGTACCTGTGAAAGGGGACATTCCTTGGCCAATGAACTCTGGTTCATATCCTTCAGTAAGTCCTTCAGAGCATTTCTTACTGTTGTGTGAGACCATTGTTCAGGAGGCAAGTCTTCTAGTTTAGGGCAACTATTTGAGACATAGATTAGAAAATGGATTATTACAAGATTGCATTCTGCTGCAGAACATTCCTTTAAGACAGACAGATTTCATTTTGCGCATCAAGCAGATGCATCTGGAGATTGCTCTCAGTCTCCTGATTGTTCCGATTAGTTAATTACTTTATACAACACATCTGCTGTATTGATGCATGAATTATACATCAGCTGCATGTGGCGACTATTTTTTCATGTTACTTCTACCTTCCTGCTCTGATGCGCTTGGTAAAACAATTTAAGGTGTAATGCCTTCTCACAACTGATCATGAAAAGAATTAATATATTAGCTTCCCCCCTCTTTAAGATACAGTGAAATTTAAAAACCTTGACTGCAACTATAAGAGTGAACAAGTCATTCTTTTTCAAAATGCACACAGATGGTGCTGTTCATGATATGCAAAAATATTTTTCTCTTAAGTAAACTTTATGTAAAATGCCTTCTTGCAATGCATCATTTAATTGACTAAAATGCAATATACTTTTAATGAGATACCAGAAGAAAAGCTATGAATCGGAGCTATGCGAATATAAGGTTTCTACAATATTGTGAGATGGTGCTGTATTTTTTTTTCCTGATGAACTGCAACAACAAAAGAATACAGGTATTATTTTGCAGATTGTCTGCTTAACTCAGCAGCAACCAAGCAGTATATAAAACTCTACTTTTTCCCCAAAGACTACTGCCCTGTCTGACATACCTGTGCAACTGGATTTTCAGTGTGACAACATGATAAACATCCTGCAGCATGTCAGCTACTGTAGCATCAGGAGCATCTGTTACATAGGAGAGAGGAACTGGGTTCCATTTCCCAACCTGGATTAGCCCTGCACCAAGCAGAAACATAACAGTGAAAGGGCATTTAATGTTGAGGTCAGTAGTTTTAAGGAAATAAGTAAAAGAATCCATGATAATGAGAAATTATATTCATTTTTATTTTTAATTAGCTGCCTGCCACATATTTTTCTCTGTAGCAGGAATAAGTATTAACTTGGTTTATATAGACCATAAATAACTTCCTAGTGTGAATTACAATGTTACAAAAAATGGGCTTGTGGACTTCCCATGAAAGAACAGATAGAGAAGCTCAGTTCTAGAACAAAGCTGACTGTCCCAATAGTCTATGTTGCACACTTACTTGTGGTTCTTTCGTCGTGCGAATCATTAGTGACTATTACTGCACTGAAAGCATTTAAAAACAAAGCAAACCGTCTATATTTCATATGAAAAAAGACTACAAAAATGTATCTAAGTAAAACTTGAAAGATTAATTCTACTTTGTTGCTGATTATAGACACTGGTGCAGCATTCCTGAAAACAAAACAAAAATAACCTATCCCAACCTCTCCCCTAAGTGTAAATACAGATTGTTTTGCCGTTTATAAAAAATATTTACCTTTTGCTTGGGCAGCAGAGCTATGAGAATATCCAAGTGACAGCAATGCCATTTCAATCAGCTGGTTGAACAGCATGTCCTTCCTTACCAAAACAAATTCTGCATGCTCTTCCTTGCAGTCGTACTCAATGGAGTTTTCATAATGTTCCACCACACAGAAGACTGGAAGCATGGTTCCTGTAATGTAATAATTTGATGGAATCAAAATGTGTATGGTGTTTACATGTACTTTCTGCATGAGTTGCTAAATAAATATTAGTTGGTTGAAATTCTATCCTATCTGGCCTATCTGGTCTTTCCAGATATAGGATGTACCACATGCGTACTATTAATAAACCTTATAATAAGTATTAAGCATAGGTTTCAATCTACTTTAGAATTCAGTACCTGCTAATAGAAACTATAAAGTAGGTTGCAGAGAAATAATGTTGGTTGTCCCTACCCAATCTGATTTGTTGTGAGAGTCTGCAGTGTGACTACTTAAATACATACTGCAGAAGCCTTCTGAGTAAGCTATTGCAACGCCATCTACATAATTCTGTTTACAATAAAGCTTCCTTATTAGTGCCAAAAATGCTGAATTAGTAATTGTTATGAAATTTCACCTTTGTCTGGCTGTTCTTCAAATTTCACATTAACAAAACAGTGTAAGAAAACCAACCCAACCTAATGCTAATTGATTTTATTTGGAAATAAGCAGGGCACACTGATGCTACATATAACAAAATAAATTTTCAGAAAACAAGAAAAACCCTTGCACAATATTTTTTTTTGTTTACTGTTCACCAAGTTGTCATTACATGTATTCCAGGGGGAGGGGGTAATAAACACTGTGCTACAAATACATATGTAGAATAAACATTTTTAAAAAGTTTCAGCTTCAACTAACTACTTAGTTCCTTTTTTACACTGCTGTGGTTCTACTGTAGTCAAAGTGATTTATAAATTAAGCATCACAGATCTCATTGATCTCAGTAGGATTATAGCAGTGCTACTGAAACATGTTAAGTCTTTAAACATGTGCATATTTGTGATTCTTATAAAGCAAGGTTTGCAGAATTGTTGCTTTAATTTTAGCTAAATATAGAAGATGAACAGATCACTGTGTGTGCAGCATCATTCAAGTAACATGGGCTAGAAGAAGGACCTGTTCTTATGAGATCACAACTGAGGCTTTTAAATGAGAGGAAAGTAGTATATGAATCTACTAAACCACTAACAAAGCTCCAACTGACTTTAGTGATACCAGATCAGGACCTTCATCAACAAAAAGGAAAGAGTTAAAACAGCTGCTGCACAGGAACTGTCTCATGGCATACTGCCAAAAGGGCACAATCTTTAACATAAAGGATGGCAAAGGTTACTTTAATAGGGTGCCTAAGATCACCAATTAGTCCTAAAAAATTAATGCCCCTGTAAGCACTATCCTCTACAGTTACAAAAATCATCTAATCTTGCAAAGGTATATAACACATACTGCATTAGTAAAAGTGATTTATAGATGATATTAAAGTAAGTTGTACTAGAATCTCTTTAATCTACTACTACATGAACAAAGTGAAAAACACCATTTCAACTACATTTGCAATGAAATGTAGTTTCTGGTAAACCATACTCTTAAGGTTGCTTGGAAAGATGGACACTCTCTGGTTTTCTGAACAGGCTTAGCTTGAAACATTTCAATAGGCTTAGTCTTAAAACATCTGCATTTCATAATAAGATGCATCAGGAAGGAAAAAAAAGTCCAGAGTAGGATCATCAAAATGTGAACTGCTGACTTCTTTGTTTCACTTGTCAGATTGTACAGTAATATATTCTGACCCACCACAACCAAAACACAACAAGCCATGAGAGCAGGAAGGAGGGACTGGAGGGATTATTAGGAGGTTTTCTGCAGAATCTATATAGATTCACTTACCACATACTTGAGAAATGCAATACTGTATGGCATATTTCTTCCTAATGCGTACTACGCAAGAAATTACACAAGTAGCAAACAAAAAGGAACCAATCTCTCAATTAAAACACCTTAAGTTATCCCCACTGGGATGAGTATACAACAGCTATATTTTATGCTGTGATAGGACAGGCATCTTGATTATTGTGGGAAAGGCCACACAAGTCACTATTAAATATAAGTTTTTTATCCACTGAAGCTATAATCCTACTAAAGATGTTAAATCTCCACAACCTGTCACTAGTTCCTTTCTATTAAATGCCGAGAGAGAGAGATGGGCAGGAGATCACAAATTCAGCTAGCTGATCCCTCTTGCAACTACTTGGCAAGACCTCCAAGAGCAGCAACTTTATAACCTTCTAGTATTAAAGGGGAAAGCACTGGTCAGTGCTCAATTCTAAAAATACAGCATGATTTAAACCTGAAGGCAGTGTTAGAGGTTTTGCTGAAGGTTTATGAGTCTATGTAAACAGCATGTCTGCCATAAGAAGCAAAGAAGTCTGTAGAATCCTTGTCTAAAACTGTCCTGGCATTAAAGTTTGCTGTGCAAATATCACATAATACGAGAGACAGCTGAAATCTCCTATTTAGGAATTTATGGAACTTATATGTTTGCAGGCGTCAGAAAGTCCTTTTTATATAGCCCCAGTGCTTCACAGCACAATATTAATGCACTCTGTTTAAAAAGCAGCAATAAATTATATTTTTAATGCCTTACCCTGGCTTTCTTAAGATGCATACATTCTTGGCAAACAATCAATAAATAGGGTAATCATGAGCAGAGGCCAAAGAATTTGCTGAAGTGCTTTTTTTCCATTTTTAATAGATACAGATCTAACAATACGGACTGCTGTGCCTGTTCATTCTAAGATCAATATATTCTTTGTTTTCGCCAATCCAAGGAAAAAATAAATGATTGTATGATAAATGTTATGCATCAGAATGAAATGCCAGTGCCTTCTAACTTTGTGTGTTTAATTGTCTTGGCTGAATGTTGTACTTTGCTTAGCAAATGCAAGAAGAAATCTGAATTATAAACATGCAGCAATTATACTGAGTAAAGAAGTGTTAAAACAAATGCCAAATTATATACAGCATATCTAGATTTAAATTAACATGACTGCTGTGTATGATTCAAAAAGATCATGTATACTATTAATTCTATTTTAAAATAATCATAGTACAAACAGAGCCTCAGACACATACATACCACAATCAGTCACTGGATCTAAAACCGTATTTTTCTTGTGAGAATGTCTAATTACAGCAAACCAGTCACTGAACAATATGACACCCAAGTTGTTCATTTCTCAGTAATGAATTGTACTTAAGGAAACAAAGTGCGAAAAATGGTCATCATAAAAGAGTTTTCCACAAACACCAAAAAGCTTTGTATCGTTTTCTTAAAGCCAACTAGCAAATGTTTTAGAAATGCTATTGACCTTCCAATTTTGGACCCTTGTCAAGGGTAGAACTAAAAATCTGGCTGTTCCAAGAATACATTATTCATTCACATGCCATTAAAAAGTGTTTCGCTCAACACCCCATGCAGAATGAGTTTATTACAAGAGGTATCTTTGACTGGTAGAATTATTCAGTCTCAATAAGGCAGATAATCAAAAGTAAGGGTTCTTTTTTCCTATTTAAAAAAGACTCCACCCTGAAAAGCAAGATGCTCCACCCAAGCATGCAGTTCAATCTTCCAAGTGCCATTTCCATCAGAGTTAAGGATGAGATACTTGTAGAACAGAAATGTCATAGTGAAGAACATTATGCACAATTCTGGAAGTATGTTTCTTCTAAAACAGATTCAGAATTATTGTGTTACCTTTTCTAGTATGTGTTTTCATCAGGTGTCCAGAGTGTTTTAAAGGCACTCCTTGCATTTTAGTTCCTGTACTTCCAAGTCTTCCTCTTCCTAATGGGCTCCCATTCTGCTCCAAGCGGGCAATTTTGGCTGGTGGACCCTTCGGATCGCTTACATTGTTAGACATTTCTGAATGTTCTTTCCCCTGAGTTGTCTCGTTCAAATGATCCATACTCAGTCCCGCCTCTAAAGATCACCTGCCATGATTTAAAAAAAATATATATGTGTTGTATACGCGTGCGTAGTTTTATGTAGGCAGCTTTACACATGTACATAATACATCTGTATAGCATGTTCACATAATATTAAATGTATTTTAAAGAAAAGTACACTCAGGAAATGTGCTTCATTGTCAAACTATCCTACCATTTAGAAGTTTCTTAACCTAGCATATATACATTGTAAACAGGCTCTGTATCTTAGGAATCCATGAGTGAGAATAGTAGGTGTGAGTGTTTAGTAGCATTCACACAGTAGTATACCCACTGCTACAGATCTCTAATGTGTATGTTCTTGTGACAAATCCCTTACTGACTCAAAATATTTCAGTTTAATGTGGGGAAATCTTGCATTGTCTAATTCCTCAGAAAATAAAGAGGGAAGAATCTGAGCTAGGCATGCAACAGTTTAAACTAGTTATATGATCTTTCATGCACATGCATATCCTTTACAGATAAAAGTATAAAACCTCAGATATCTGACACTCTCTGGACATTTGTAACCCTAATTTATATATTAAAAGATTGATTAACTCTGGATTTGAAAAAATGTAGGTAAACTTTTTCCATGTCGTAAAGCTGAGTATGAAATGTTGGCTCAACTATGTCATCTTACGAATGTCATATGGAAGAAAATATGGAAGGCTTTTTAGACTATTACAGCTTTCTAGATATCAAATTAAAAACCTTTCAGCACCTATGGAATCTTTGTAACACATATCTGAGTATCAGAATAAATGTGAAAGCAAAGAATGAAGACACTTATAACTTCAACTTAGCATTGAAGTAGTATCCCTGCTTTTGAAAATGTAGCATTTTCACCATGAGATTTCCTTTTTCAAAAATAGTAATATTCTATGATACGCCATGCATGTTACATATAATCACAGAGTACTGTAACATTGACATACCAAAGAGAGACAGAGAGAGGAAAGAAACAAAGACAAGCTGTTGACTTTTGGAAAATGAGTGCTTTGGTTGTACTTTTATTCTGCAAGGATACTTACTTTACATTAGGTTCCATCCATTCTGACTAAGGTTTAACTGCAATGTCTTCTCTATTATATATGCAAGATGATAACTAAAAACAGGTGACTAGTCATTTATGAAGCAGTACTTGCATTATTAAGCATAAACCCTAATATATGAACTGGGTCGGGGGGATTACATAGAAAAGAAGCACTGCTCCTTTCACAATAGTTTTGATAGTATATATAATTTATCACATTTTCCCACCTCTGATGGAATCTTCATTTTGCTGGAGATGCTGTGTACTCCCCTTGTAATTTGTCTCTTGTTTAATCATACACTGCTTTGTCTTTCATAAAAAGCAATGTTAATCTGAAGGTTTAGAGCAACCTTAAGAATGCCAGCTGAATAACTATAAAGTTTAGAATATAATGGTTATTTATCCATACACTCCAGGGTGACATGCTGCGAACCAAAGGTTTACCGTTGATTGTGGTCCCATCTGTTTTTGGTTATGAGTCTCATTAACAATAAATATGCCTACTTTAATCACTTTTTTTAATCAAGATTATTCTTTTTCATTACATTAACTGCTGTTTAACCCAAAACTGCACATCTAAATTACTAACATCTACACTGCTTGGTGGTGCTTCACCAGAATACTTAGTCAGACACTCTAGTTTTTCACTTACTTCTCTCGAATTAGTGGATGGTCTGAAAACACCTTTAACAACAATGTCACCGTCACCCTTCCACAACTTCACCTGCTTCAAGATATGGACTAAACATGTGATATTCTAGATCAATAGTATCTCATGCCCAACAAACAGATAGCAATTTATTTTGTATATGATGACTAAAAGACGGAGCAGGTCATTTTAAATTGGACTTAAGAACACCCACCCACTTTACATCCTCTAGCTCAGTTGTCTTGTAAAAAGATTTATGTTGCAAAGCTGCACATAAAACACCTAATTTACTAATTTAAACTCCTATGCCCAAGGCTAAAGTTCATTAAACCCTCCCCCCTTCTCACATAGTAATGAGCAACAGTCAGCATGGTCTGCCTTTGACAGCTCCATGAAGTTAACTATTATCTCTGGAGATGACAAGGCCAAGAGCTTCTGCTGGTTTCAAGTTCCACCATTTGTTCCCTCTACAAGTTTTCAACATAAAAATTAGCTTCAAGGTACGATTTCGTAAGTGCACTACTAAGACAGGCAATAACATTGAAAGCATTTTCCGAGAGAAATTCTGTTGTCAAAGCAATGTTTCTGCAAGTAGAATGGAGTATTGTATCTTTAACACTTTGAGAGTTAGCCCCCTCCCCTTTCTTCTTTTTCCCCTCCCCCTCTCTCCAGATAAAACCCCTTAATCACATTTAAGAGAGGCTCTGTTCTTATCCATTCCATATGGCTGTCATAATCCAGGCCAAGCTTTCACTGTGACCTTTTAAAGAGACAAAGAAGCAAAACACTATCTAGAAACAGGAACACTGCAGTTTGAGGGAAATTTTATAAAAAGACCTGAAACTCACCACTTCAAAACTTGACAGCATATAAATAACAGAAACAAAGGAGACTTCCTTTGCAGACGATTTCTTGAAGAAGCAGCAGCAGCTCAAGACTGATGTTTTCTAACTCCTTTTTTTTAGAAAAAAAAACCATAAAAATGATGGAAACCTGAAGGATACTTCCTTCCTAAAATTCTATTTTTTCTAGGAAGAGGTGGGAGAAATGCATAAGCCAAACATAGTAGCCAATGGAGGAAGGCAGCAAGGGAAAAAAAGGTAATAATCAATGTACTAAAAATGCAGAGCTTCTAATAATGGGAAACTAGAGAGGTAAAAAATGTAACCAGACAGCAGAATAGTGACAGTAATAAGTTTCTTTTTAGAAAATAAAGAGTAATACTAACAAAAAGGTATGACCTGTCTAAGTCCGCATTCATTAAAAAAAGTGTAAATAAGAAAACGAAGTGGGGGGAGGGAGTGAAACAGCGTTTCTGATATTTTTAGAAGTAGAAAATCAATTGAGTTGGTCTCTTACAATTATTTTCTAATAAAACAGAGCACACGTACACAAAAAATACAGCTAAAGGCATGCCTTTCTCCCCCCAAAAAACTAATCCCAAAACTTTCTGCATAAAGCCTTCCCAGAAAAAAACATAAAACATAAAAGGCTACAGAAAAGTTACAAGTAAAGGCACTAAAATCAGTTTCACTATTGCCCTTGCTATTTATTAAAATAATAATGCAGAGAATCTCTCCTTTCTTATTTACCCGGAGAGACTGCGCTTGGGAGGAGGGGGGCAGAAGGAGACACAGTCACCACCAAAAGTAAATAAGATAAAATAATATAAAAACAATCACTTCACTTAGGAGAAAAGAATTAAACATAATAATATACTTCCGAAGAGTTAGGCAAAATGAACGTCGGGGGAAGAAGATGAAGGGGGTGGGGTGGGAAGAAGGGTAATCAGGTTACCAAAAAATAATAATAAAATTAATCCTGTGAGCTTTCAAATTCTTGTTGTCCCTCGGTTGGCTATTATTGTTATTTAGGCCGGTTTGGTGGTTGTTGCTGGATGTTACAGGGCTGTGAATGTGAGTGTGTGTCCCCCGGACGTAGCTTGCTTTGCTCGCGCTCGCTCTCTCTCCCTCTCGCTCGCTCTCTCTGTCCCCATTAAATTATTAGTTGACTCATCACTCCTCCTCCTGCTGCTGCCGCCGCCGTCCCTTGCTCCTGCTCCTTCCTCTCCGCTATTGCTTTCTGCCGCCGCCGCCGCCGCCGCCGCCGCTTCTTCCTCCTCCTCCTCCTCCTCCTCATTTTAATACAAAATAACACCGAGGGCCACCGGCTTTAAAAAAAAATGTATACAGCCCAAGACAGGAGGAGAACGTAGCCTCCCCGCTGCTGCCTGGAGCTCTTCCCCGGCGGCCCCGGATCATCCGACGCGTCCTGGGAGGGAGAGACAGAGACAAGCAGGAGGAGGAGGTGGCGGCGGCGGCGGAGTAAACCGAGGGGGGGGGGGGGGGAAGAAAGGGCATCTAGAAGGGGTGGAAATAGGAATTGGATTAAAAAGGGGGCTGGAGGGTTAAGGCTGAAGGGGGAGGGGGTTAAAACAAGAAAGCCGGGGGTGGGGGAGTGAGGCGAAGGGAGGGGAAAAGAGGGAGCCGAGGGGTGTGCGATTTCCGGCACAGGGCGCGCAAGAATTTGTAATCAGCTTGATTAGTGTGAGGCGGCTGTGCATTTATTACACACAATACCCAGAATAACAGGGAGCAATGCAAGAGGGATGTCGCTGGCAGCAGCACAAGGCAGACGATTAACGAGTGCAGACTGGACTGCCGAGAGGGACAGGCCAAGCAGGAGCGGCAGGAGCGGAGGCCACCTTCCCTGTGCCGCGAGAGGGGCGCCCAAGGGGTGGAGAGGCGGCGAAGGGGCGCAAAGGGAGAAACCAAGCGACAGGACGAGGCGCACGCGCCTAAGTCCTACAAGCCGTATCATAAATGCATGCATATTCTTCACACCCTCGTGGCAGTAGCCACGACCTAAATGGGAGAGGGCAAAGGCGCACCACCAGCATAAGATGCCAAAGGCAACTCCCATGCCGGCGTCTCTTGGCACTCCCGGGGGGCAGGGGGGGTAGCGCACCCAACAGACTTGGAAACAAAGTAGCAATCGAAAGAACGTGGGCATCTGCGCAGGCAGCAAAATCTACAGAGACGGGAACTGAGAGCAGGTGCACACAACGCATAGGAGCATATGGCTGGCAGTCATGGTTCCATAGCGAGGGAGAAATAGGATGGAGTGCGCTTGTATAATACTCTGCTGGGAAGGGGCATACCTTAGAGGAGTGCGAAAAAGTAGCAGGATGTGTCTATCTCCGTGAGTACATCTGCAATCCACAAGCTATTTTGCTGTCCCAGTCTCACCTGGCAGTAGACACAACCCTTGACAGGCAGCAAATGGAAATGCTGCCGGTTTTAGCACTCATGTGCATTACACTGTACTTGCATGAAAGTATTTGTACAAGGAACAGGTTGAACTCATCATCATCATGCTGTTTGTGGGAACATGCCACTAACAAACAATATCACCAGGGAAGATTGCTTCCATCTTTAGGGGATTTTATTGTCCTGTCAGTATTTGACACTACTGGGACACAAGTCTAGTACTTTCTGGCTAGCACTGTAAACAAGGATTATTCCAAAAATACACATCCCTGTAAGCGACTATCCTAGAAGCAGATTCTAAGTTCAAGAAACCTAGCAATAGCAGGATTTCCAGCGGAACCTTTAGCCTTCATCTAAGCATGTTTATTTGGATGTACAAAGGGTCTTGCTTCCCAATTGGTGCTTACATTCGAAGATGTCATTGTACTATACTTTAAAAAAGAGGGCTGGGTTCTTACAAACCCCAGGTGTTAAGATCTCTGGCACAGTGGTTGTTTAGGCCACAATGACGGTACTTCAGTCTACCAAATTCTTCATATACTTTCATGTTTGTTTTGCACTGAGGGGAAGTTTAAAGGGAAGAAAGAGCAGGCATAAGAAACATCTTCAAAGATGGAAGAATATTACTAAAGTAGGATCCTTGCTAACCATTCTCAGTACTGCATTCATCCAACACAGAAAGAAGACTAAATACTGTTCTTCTTGCAGGGAACTATTGGGAATGATAAATAGTACAAAGAGAGCAAGAGACTGGGCAGAATAACCTAGACAAGTACTTAGGCCTGGGTTTATGTGAATACAGCCACAAAATGAATAAGTCCACATTATTACTTTTAACATATTAAAGATTTGTAGACTGTTGAGTCCTGGGCAGAATGTCCTGTAGTATACCTTTTACATTTGGTGGAAGGAGGGCTGATACATCAGGACAGCAAAATAATGCTGGTGGTAAATTATTTATTTGCAACTCTAATAATTATAAATATGAGCACTATGATGCACAAGCTGTACCAGTTAGAGAAGTAAACAACACTGGCAGCTTGAAAGAAACAAGTCTGCGCAAGCTAAGAGGATAGGCACATATTTACTGAAAGAGCCAAAAAATGTAAAAGTTCAAAAACATGCTGATTGGGATCCAGAGACCAGTTAAGCTAGATAGTCTTTCATCTTATTCTGGATCTTTAATCCAACTACAGTGGCGTAATTGGTTTCTGGGTAAATATTAACCTGTGTATGTAACATTTGGGTTACCTCAAATGCAAATGTATTTTTAAGAGAAACTGATACGCTGTCATATAAACTTACGTTTTTTAATAGGTAACAGAGAGATAATTTTTCATAACATGCAAGATGAAAAATGCAGCATTTTAAACTTTGAACAAAGAAAGAATACAAATTAGTAAATGCTCAGAAAAACAAGTGTTTTAGACATACACACCTTACTAGAACACCAAAACAAAGCATCAAAGATACACAGAGAAATATAGGCTGACATCTACTGAAGTAAACACAAACACCATAGAGTGTGTGCAGAAAATGGTAATGGGGTGAAATGCATAAAATATTTATAACAGTCAGCAATGCACAGAATAGATTATTGTGTTAGAAATAAAGAGCATGGTGCTTGAAATATAACAGTATTATACAACAGTTATTTGAAGGAGTACAGCTGAAGGTAGAATAAGTTAACATTCAGCTTGTCTGTGTATGCACATGCAGACATACAAAAACTGAGAATAAGAATGGCCAGTATTATAATTCCTATCTACATATCTGTGGTGCAATGACTCTTGGATACTGTGTAAAGTTGTGGTCACTGGATGTCAAAAGAGATTTGATAGAGTTAAAAAGTCACTGAAAAGAACCACCAAGATAATCAAGGGGCTGAATCAACTCTACCTTGAAGAAAGGTTAAAATGTCTGGGGCTACTTAGCTTAGAAAATAAAGGAAGAAAGGAGGGTATATAAAATTGTTCATTTTCTAGAGACAGTAATAGAACCCAGGCTAATCCAATGAAGCTGAATGGTGGGAAATTCAGGATAAGAAAGAAGGATTTCTTTACATATCATGTACAAACTATGCAACTTTTCTCAAAATTGCCACCAAGTTGGATGACGCTGAAAAGAGGTTAGACAAATTCATAGGAGATAACACTATCAATGGCAATTGGTCATATATCAGATGCAGTATGCCCTTGTACACTGCTTGCTGAGAAATCAAGCTGCAGGGAGCTGTTCCCCTGATGTCCTGGTTGTGAGCTTCACATGGGTATCTGATTAGTTATTCTTTGAGCAGAGTACTGCACTAGGTAGGGCTTTGGTTTGATCCAGCATAGCATTTCTTATCTGAAATTTATTAAGAAAGCAAGAGCCATGCTGGGTCAGACCAAGCTCCATCTTATCCAGTATTCTGTTCAAACAGTATCCAACCTGCTGTCTGAAGGAAGCCCATAAGTAGGTCATGAGTGCAACAGTACCCTCCTACCTATGTATGTATGTATTTATTAAATTTCTAGTCCATCCATTAGCCAAATGACCGTTGGACAGCTTACACCAGTTGTTCTCCAACAACTGATGTACATAGGCCTACTGCCTCTGATACTGGATGTTGCATATAACCAGCAGTTTACTAGCCGTTGACAGCTTTCTCCAGGGATTTGTCCAAACCCCTTTTAAAGCTATCCAAATTGGTGACCATCGCTACATCTTGTGGTTCTACGTACTGTGGATTCCAGATATGTTACCTTTCCTGAATCAGTCTCCAATGATCCAAGGGATGACTTAGTATCCTGGTATGATAGGAGAGAAAGAAAAATATCTCCCTATCCATTTTTCACACCAGGCATGACTCCCTTTTCTTGCCTCTTTTCTAAGCTAAACAACTAAGATTTTGTACACTTTTCTCATAGGGGAGCTGTTCTGGACCTTTGATCATTTTGGTTGCCCCTTTCTACCCTTATTCCAACTATGTAATATCCCTTTTTAAGTACAGGGGCTTTAGAAAGTACAGTACACACAGCATTCCAAGTGTGGTTGCAGCATGTAAGAACAGTATGATGCACATATTACAAATGATGGTCTGTGTAAGACTCATCCTCAAGCTTGCAGCTTTTAAGCTATTTAATTTGAAACAATCCCATGGAAGTTAAAAGCCTGCAGCGTAGTTGAACCTAGATTCTGGCTAGATTTTCTCAATTACTCTCACTGGTTCATCTTCTCATTTTACTGAAACCTATCAAAGGTGGTTTCTTGGGTTGGATAACAATCTACCCCACAACTTTACAGTAGCCCATAGTTTCTGAATGGTTTGTTTCCCACTACAAAAGGCATTTTCCCTGAGTTTGGAAAACACACGAAGACTTACCAGCAAAGGTAATTATGCAAATCTGGCCGCCATATAACTGGTATGTACAGAGTGAACTTTCAGAGCATGGACAAATGTAATGCTCTATTTACTTAGAAGTAAAAAATCAAGAATATTGTATATCATTATGTATGCACTAACTAAATAGCCATCATGATAGTGTCTGTGTGCTTGTGTGTGTCTGTGTGTATGCATGTGTGTAGAAAGAGAGGTAGAAAAGGAGTACAAATCTTCTGTGATACATATTAATTGCACCCAAATTTCAAGGATGGAGCACAGGTTTAGCTCTCTCTGCAAAATCTGAATATGACACTTTACTTTTCTCATTCCATTTATGTAGGAGAAAATAAACAGAAATATTGGGAGAATGGTTGGAGGGTCTGGGACATTAGCCACTGAAAAATCAAATATGTCTCTATTTGTATTGCTCTATTTGCACATGCCAGATTTCTGCCTGGTCATTCTGTATTCTAGAGCAGGGGGAAACTTGTATTGTCAAGTTGTCCAGTTGTTATTGAACAGCAGCTTTCAACAGCCACAGGTAAGCACAGCCAATAGTGAAGAATGGCAGGAGTTGCAGTCTACCATTTAGAGAGCCACATTATTCACCTCTGCTCTAGAGCA